CTTTAGGTGTGTATTATTTTGTCTAAATAGAGGGTGGGCCAAAAGTAGGCTTACACTTAGTAGGTATGTACTTTACATTTTTTAAAAAGCATTTTATTACAGTTACATTTATTTGTTCAAAACTGTTTATGTACATTTGTTTAAAACTTATATTCTTTTAACACAGTTTAATCTTTTAATTGCTCAAAATGTCCTCCAACATTCCTCGAACCTCTCCAGAACACGACCAATTTCAGCAAATACTTCTGATATGTACTCTTAATTTGTCCACTATGTGAGGATTTCTCTTATAAACAGTGTTCTTTATTACACTCCCCCCCAAAAAAAAGAAATCCATTGGTGTAAGGTCAGGTGAACATGGTGGCCATTTGATGCCATCCCTTCTTCTGAAACCAATACTGTGGAAAGGTTTGGTTAAGTTAGTCTCTTACTGCCAAAGCATAACCATCTTGCTGAAAGAACAGTTCGACAATGTTCGCTCTGGTTCTGAGCTGTGATCTAAAACATGAAACAACTGTAAGCCTACGTTTTTAGCCCACTCTGTATATATTTTAAATATCCATAAATTTGAAAGTGTATAATTGATTTTTAAAATAAATCATAACATTCATATAGTTTTGGCTTGTAATAATTTGTGACAATCATTTTTTATGACATCTCAATTTTTTTTAAACTTTCTAAATAAAATTCTTTCTTATTTTTATATAAAAATTAGTTTAAATAATTACAATAAATTATATATTTAGTGGATTATGAAAAATTTATGCTTTTTGTATAATTTTCAAATGCAATAAAAATATTAAAATTGTTTTTCTTTTTACATCTATAGCTTGTCAGTTAACAAAAAATTGTATTTATAAAATTAGAAAAATTAAAAAAATAAAAATAAATTAATTTTTAGTTTTAAAATAATTTACTTAAAAATACATTGGAGTATTTCTAATTCATGCTAGAAATATGTTATCTTTTAAAAGCATTTTAAATAATTTCTTTATTAAAATATTCCTATAATATGAGTGAGCCTTCTAAAGTTAATCACTTTTTCTTTTTTTGAAATAGTGAGTTACAAAATTTAAGAATTAAAATAAATTCTTAATTTTATTTTTAAAAAGGTGTATTTCATTTTTTTTTTTTTTTTTTACAATGAATTTTAAGAACAAACAGAATCTGATACAATGTATAATAAAAAATATTTAGTGCAACTTCTTAAATGCTAATTGTATCTATAAAGCTAGTGTATATCAATTTGAGATGAGTTATCATTGTTAAGAATAACCCAAGCTGGTGACTATATTTATTAATATTTAGTTATTTGTTGTTCACCATTTTTGGTAAGAGAGAGACCAATCTTTCTTAAGCCTGAAGATGGCAACTGGGGAATTGGCTGAAAAAGGGGCAACAACAGCAAAAAAAATATTCTTATTTTAAAAAAGACTTTTCTCATTCTTTGAATACAAAATTGTATTTAAGCTCATAAATATAATCAGTTTTAGTTTATTATAAGAATGGACAAAAAGTTCTTGTAATAGTAATATTCACAGATAATTATGATTTAGATTATAACCCAATCATTTATTAAGTGTGTGTATATATATATATATATATATATATATATTGATTGAAAAGTAACTTCCTATTTTATGCATGATGAACTCTCCTGTCTTGTAAAAAATTATAGTTAGGCGTGAGAGTTCATCATACATAAAAAAAATAGGGAGTTACTTTTCAGTCATATATATATATATATATATATATATATATATATATATATATATATACACTTATCCAGTGAACTGTCAAAGTATAACAAACAATAAAAAAAAATGTTACAAAAAAAATAAAACTTAATTTTTTTTTCTATATTTATAATTGATATTAAACACATAACAACAGTAAATATTTGAAGAATATTTTTGGCTAGTTGGTGCCTCAAAATGGCTCAGTGGTTAAGGCTTACTTAGTACATCATTATTTATGGCCTTGTGCCAGACTTAACTAAGCTTAGTAAATAACTATTTCCTGTTTATATACAGAAATAAGTTGGCAAAGAATGCTTGAGAAAATTCTTAACTGCTGGTAGCAGAATTCATTTGCCAATTTGGAATTGAATATTTTTAGTTTCCTCAAATATTTTATCTCTAACTTATATTCAAAAGAGATATAAGTATTAGTTGCTATATATATATATATATATATATATATATATATATATATATATATATATATGTGTGTGTGTGTGTATACACTCATTGGCAATAAATATGCATAAAAAATGTTTCTAGACCTCAGAGCTTTTCTCTTTATGTCCTGTGTTTATCTGTTCATTTTTGTAACTGTCTGAAGCTTTTGACACACACACAACACCAATATTGTCAGAAATCTTATTTATCTTTTCTGTTTGTTCCTTCTTTTCTTTTCTTCTCCTTCTTTTCACCACCTGTCAATTTTTTTCTCTCTCTTTAAATCTGTTTATCTCTACCAACAGAGAGTGATATTTGGGCTGGGCTTTTGTCATTGGGTACTTTTTCTTGTCCCTTTCATCATGGTATTTCAACTGAACACAAATACGCTGTGATGTGGTATAACTTCAAAGTTAGCAATAGCACCACATCTTTTTTTTTTTATCTATAACAGATTTTACTGCCATAAGCAAATCTGCTTCCACGTATTTCCTACCAAACTCTTTACTGGCAAAAGAAATTCTGCATTTTCTATTATTGGTCATTACTTCATTATGATTTACGTGTGTGAAGGTATTTTTGATAAGGGTGGACATAAACAGAAAGAAGAAAAAAAAAGGGGGTAACAAAAACCAAAACAATTTTTGAGTGTCTATTCTAAAGTTTGTTCCCACCCTTTTAATATGTTACTGCTTTGAAAAATCTTTTACGATAGATAAGTATGGACAATGTATTTTATCTAAGCAATACTTCTCCCACATAAAATTGTGTTTCAATAGTGTCTACTTCAATTCTGTGTATTTTATCTCATTTTTTCTTTGTTGTCGTGTGATCTTCAATCAACCCAGGAAAAGAATTCATATAATCGGAAATAAAATTTGTGATGACATTGCTGAATATTTTATAACTAGATTTTTTTGTTTTTTAAGTTTCCATTATTTTATTTAACTTTTGTTATGGAGTAAAGATGAACATATTGTCAAATAGATTGCTGTGCTTAAGCTTCTTTGTGATTTAATTTTTAATTAAGTAAAATAGTTGTTGAGAATAACAGAAACTTTTACAGGTTATATATTTATATATGATAAAATGATTAATCTGAACAAAGATACACTACATGATAACCATTTGGATGTTGAAATTTCTATTGTATTGTTAATGTTTCATTCAATAAGATCATCATCAGAACAGCTGGAAAAATTAAGGAAAAATTGTTACAATGACAAATTTGCCATTTAGGAACACTTGGATAATCTGATACTCAAAGGGCGGATAGACAGAAAGAGGGACAAAAGAAAGCAACATGTGACATACTTAATGAGTTTAAGCAAGTGAATGGCAGAAGAGGGTCCATGAGAAATAAGAAAAAGACAATTTATTGAGAGTTACAAGGGACAGGAGGATGTGGAGAGCCATGATCACCTATGTTCTGAAAGGACATGGTCCATAAAAGAAGATAAAAAATTTAAGTTAAAATATTTTCCAATTAACCAATATTTCTAAAGTATCAAGCTTGCCATGGTAAAGATATTTCTTTAATTTTTGTTCAGTTTTTCAGATGTTCTTATTGAATGAAACATTAGCAACAGAATAGAAATTTCAACATCCAACTGGTTTATATATAATGCACAGTGTAAATCTTGTTTATAGTTATAAATTATTTACATGTCCCTACCTCCAGTCATTGTTTCTGTTCAGTTGAAGGATGCAGAAATCTTATAAATTTGTTTGATAAATAGGCATGTAAGTAATATTTAATGTATACCTTTTTGATTTTATCTATCAAATGTGTAAGCATAAAACAACATGAACTAGATTTAAAAAAAAAAATCATTTAAGTAGCTTAGATGAAAGACTTCTTTTTTTTTTTTTCTTAATGATGTTTCTGGAAATCTTGTTTCATTTTGAAAAAAAGTTTTTCTTAAAACTACTTTTGAGTAATAGTTTAAAAATAGTTTCTGTTCTCATCTTTTATTTATAGACTTTTATTAGCTTTTATGTTTCTTTTGTCATTTATTCTTTTACATTCCTTTGGTCCAAGGCTGCCAGATTGGTCTACTTTTGACAGCCATGTGCTACTGAATTTCTGTTACTTATGACTCAAAAGGCTTACTTTTAAAATAAACTTGGCTAACTTAGTCTACTAATAAGTAGATTAAAAATTTAGTTGCTTTGGACTTTCAAAAATTACTCCAATCTGGCACTTCATTTTAAAAATATTTAACATCATATTTTCATCTCTGTTATTGCTTTATGCAAGAATATGTTTAGTTAATTTATCATAGATTAATTTTTTTTAGATGGGAATTTGATCATACCAGCTTGGTACATAAAACATTAAAAAAAAAAAAACTTAAAATTTACACTTTATTATGTATATTTGATTTTTATTTATACTTTATGTTGCAAAAATAAGCTTAACTAATCTACATTTACAACATGAATCCTTGCAATAAATAGTTTCTTTTAATAATTAATGAGCATCAAAATCAATAAGTTTTGTATATATCTACTTTAATAAAAAAAATGAAATTTGTTCAACATAATGACCATAAATAGGATATGAATAATGAAAAAATATTGCAATCTTTTAATGACATCTTTAGAATGCATATACAAAAATGGTTTTTATTTTACTGCTTTTTCTTAGGAATTAATTGAAATTAATAATGTTAAAAATAGTGAGAAATAGTGAGAAATGTATTTTTAGATAAATTTGAATTCATTTGGAAAAAATATACTGCTCAAAAATGTTATTTTTGTTTTGAGATATTTTAACATCAAAATAGTACATGTTCCTAATTTTAATTTTTCTTCCAGAGAAGCAATGAGGAAATACCTTCGAGATCCAGGTAACCAAGTGTTAGTCATCCTACATGCCAAAGTAGCACAAAAATCATACGGAAATGAAAAGAGGTAAGTGAAACTAATTTATAACTATTATTCTGCTTGTTTGTATGCATAACCATTTATTGATTAGGACCGAGGTGCTCAGTGGCTCTTCAAAGCTAGAATCAGTTACAGCTTCAAGCAAAAAAAGCTATATAATATTAATCAGGGAAGAATTGGAAAAATTAATAATAGGAGGAAAGAAATCTAGAGAAAAATGAAATTCGTGTAAAAGAAAAAATATACATAAAGTGATAGAGATGAAAGAGACATGTTGGATGGATATTGCAATACATTGAAATTCTTCATGAAGAGATAGAGAGAAAAAAAAAAACTAAAAGGATGCAGTAGAAAATATTTGTGCATACCTTATTCCTTTTGTTGCATATTAAACAGAACCATGTTTGTGTAACTCTTAGATAAAAACATGAATGGTCAATAAAGATTGGAAGGAATAAGAAAAAGAAAGAAAAGATACAGGTGAAAGAGGAGCAGAGACATGGGAGAAATGATCATCTTAGTTGTCAACACCCATGATATTTTCAAGTGTCTAGAGAGTTCTTTTTATTCATTAGTTTACCTGTAGTACCCACAAAACAAAACAAATGATAGCTGAATTTAAGGAATTTCATAATTGCATTAGTTATATTTTTCTATATGAATAAATCAAGTTTTTTTTTTTTTTGACAGAACATAATGTTGACAGAATGCTTTTTATTTACTTTATTTTATAACAGCAGCCTGATCTTCCCTATTTAGTAAGATTCATTTAATTTTTTTTTTTTTTACCTCAAGCAAAGTGATAATGCCACTAATATGCAAAGGGCTACTGAAAGAGAAAGAAGACTTTAGAAGGAACCAGAAACCCAATAACAGTATAAATTTCAAACTTTGGCAGAGATGTTAGAAGTATAGAATTTAGAAGGAACCAGAAATTCAATCCTAAACAGCAAACAAAGGATAAACCTCTACTTCTGTTCAAAAGACTAGAAAGGAATGTGAACATATCTACTCATATAGTAATAGAAAATAGTAATTCCTCTTATTACTATAATAATGAAATATCTAATTAACACATTAAGTAGATCCTGTTGGTGACAAATTAATTTTTTTTCAAATTATGGAAGAGATTACTCTTCAGCTTTAAACATTAATGATAAACAATGAACAAATTTTATGAAAAGACGTTTGAAAAATAATGTCATTTAAAACACCACACACAGATAAAGGTAGCTCAATAACACCATTGAATAGAGCAAGTTTTTGTCTACAAAGCACCATTTTTTCACCTGACACTATTACTGCAATCCATCATAGATAAGATAGCTGAGGTGCTTTCTTCATTTCATGGATTGAAAACTGTAGACATCTGTTTGTAAAATGAACTGTTACACACATCACTGTTGTTACTTCTGATATGCATTACTCACTGTCTAATGGGGCTCACATTTACTATTTAGCCTCCTTAAATGTTCAGCAAACATTGATGAATATCAATGAGCATAATCTTTTTTTTTTGAATTTTAAGACAATGTATTCATGAAAAGAATTTAAAACTTGGGTAATTTTAAGGGAACAAATAAAGTTACCAAAAAAAAAAAAAAATTACCTGCCAAAATAAGCATATAGTATAGGAGGGATATTGAAAAATTCACACCCTGACCCACTTACCAAAATCTGACCACATATTTTTTTTTTTTTTTTTTTTGAAAGCGCATCTTGGTTGAGCCAAATCCTCTTTAGTATCCCATATATATATATATATATATATATATATATATATATATAATGTTAAAGAAGAGAAATGGAGTTGTTATTGTCCTAATAAAACTGGTTGTTGTACAACTCTCTGCCTATCTTTGACAACCATTGAGTGCTGGAGACACTGACAACTGTAACCTTCAACTTCTTTCTCTTGTCATCAGCCAAACTCCAATCAAGTGTATCATTCACAGGTGAAAGTAATCAAGACAGAAATTATTGAACTGAAAAAGGAATGTGTCATATCAAAATAAAGTGAATACACACTAAAATTGCAGGAATTTCTGAGATATTTCACTTAAAGTTTTTATTTTCTTACTTTTTCAAAGTTAAGCATTCCAATTGGATCTTTTGAGCTTTTAATTGATTTATTGATGTAGTAATTATAATAATCCTCAACAATTGATATCTGTGCAAGTTTATATTTTTTGTATTGTCATTAATTATCAGCTATTAAACACACACACACTGCCATATGTCTCAATTAATAAGAAAATGCAATTACATGTTTCTTTGGAATTGATTAATAGTTGGTAATTAATATAAAATCAAAATGTACTGGATATACAGTAATAGTTAACAAATTGTCTCTTTGGAATGATCTCACTGGGTGTCTTATTGTGGCCTTTATAACAAGTTCAATAAGTCATAATTGCAATGATTACTTAACATTGGTTTGTTGTAGAATTGTTTGTTATTACTGTTTTTAATACTTTTTTAAAATTAAGATATAAAATTAAGGTTAACAGGAAGAATGTAATAAATTACAAAATTTAATTTAAACCTAAGAAATTTCATATTGAGATCATTTTAAAAGAAAGCTTTGAAATACTGCTTCAATTCACATGTTAACAAAGATAGAAATAAGAATTTGGGAGTTTATAATGACTATTGATCAACAAAAAAATCCAGTAAAAATTAATTACAGTTCACAGAAGATATTCCAGACAAGTGGCAAAGGTTCCTTAGACATCAGAAATGAGGAAGATAAATTTTAACCAAGTTATTGGTGCTTATTGTAGCTTCTCATATAGACCTTATGTATTGTGTCAAACTCTTTTAGAAATGTCTAACCTTATCATCTGTATGTAAATGTTTTCTCAGATCAACGAGTACAAATAAATAAACCCTCTAGGTCTATCCATCATCAGATCTCAGACTAATTCTACAGGATCACAAAGAATAAACTTTATTAAATAAGAAGCACGTCACCTGAAGACGTCCAACAGCAGCAACAACTAAAATGGATATTACATGTAACTCAAAGAGAAAATAATGATGTAATGAAGATGTTTACTTTCCACAACACTTTAAACAAAAGGCTAGAAAGGAAACCCCCCATCAATACTAGAAAGTGATAACAGTGAACCTATTTTCTTGAAAGAAAGATTTTATAAAATTCAACCAAAAGTAATGCTAAAGGTTTCCTTATAAGGAAATAGTTAATCTCATCATTACCATTTGTCAAAATAATGATTCTGTAATATTGTAGTTAGTGTATATCTGTTTTTAAACAGTAGAGGGGGAGAGTTTTTAGTGTTCTTTAAAACTGTCTGAATTTTTTTTTTATGAATTAAAGCAATTTCCTTTGTTCTTTTATGCAACTCTGGTATCAATAGTTCCCAACCAATCAAATTCACATTTATTTAAATTAATATGCATTTTCTTAACTTTTAATGCCATGAAGGTAATCTTTTTTTTTTTTTATCTGAATTTCTATTATTTCTTAAGAAAGATAGTGTTTTCCCTTCACCTTCATGATTTTGAATAGTCCTTGTCCCAGATTGACTGCCATCTAAGGCTGGTGAGCTCAATCTTCCCTACTATTTAACCCATAGCTAGAATGAGAAGAAAGATTTGTTTTCTCTAAAGTGAATACAACAGACTAGGGTGGGATATGAACAGAATCCACTTCCCAAGCCAATACACTTATGCATCCTTATCAACTTTAATCATCTATAATAATGTAACAGTATGTCATTTTTCTGTACATTTTTGTTTTTCTGGTTATAACTTTTGCTATGATAAAGCAAACCTACCAAATGATTCCTGCCATGATTCAAATGTCCACTCTGGAAGTAAGCAAATAAATATGACATGCCCATTATACCAACATTTTGCTGCTTGAACAGCATGTTAAAATTAATTTGCAATTATTAAGATACTACACTTGTTAATTACTCATCCCCACATGATCATAGGATATGGCACAAGACTGTTTTAAAGTGGGGAGCCAAAGCATGTGCATCTAGGTTAAAGCCAAAAATTACCCGGTTCCTGCAACCAAAATTGCACTGGTATTGATATTCTACTGATCCTTCCTCTGAGGGAGGGGTGTTACTGACGAATTGTAATTCCCTGGATCGGGCATGCCTCATTTATTTGCTCTACCCAAAGACAGAAACAACTGATTATATATATATATATATATATATATATATATTGAGATCATATTCTAATCTGTATGTAAATAGTCTTCTTTTTTTTTTTTTTAACATGTATTATGCACAAAATTTGGAATGATATCATACACTTTTTTTTTTGTTTTAAATCTGTTTTGAATATTTTTTAAGTTTTTTTATTCACTGCAATTTCAAATCATTTTTAAAATTTCTAATTTGGCAAATATGAACACATCTTGATTGATTTTGACACTAAATTATTCTTTTGAACAGTATCAAAATAAAAATAGGTAGAGGCCGATTTACCTTTTTGTTTATTAATCAGAGAAAAAAATAAAAGTGTCACTGGTTTCAGATTGACAAAGATGAATGTTATAAGTGCACTCGGGGTGGGTGGGGGTAGCTAATACCTGTTCACTGAATGGCAAAGAAGATCAGTCATTGTTAGCTGGACTAGAAAAACAGAATTTAATCGCAGCATGATTTATCAATGAATTTCTGTTAGATAAAACTGAATATGAAACAATTGGTCAATGAACAATTTGGAAAATAAAAATGATCAGAGTGATTCATTCATAAGACTACTGTGTGTTTTTTTATTTTATTTTTATTTCTCTATGTATCTCGCTCATTTTGTCTCATGGGATGAAAATGATTGGTAGCTTACAATTTTGTGTGTACGTTTGTGATCCCCACCCTTTTTCTGTTATCTTTTATATCTACTTTGATCTCGTTAATATAAGTCATTTCTTTTATCATTAATTTCTCTTTCTTCTCGCCTCTATTTTGTTTCTTTTGTTGCAATTCATTTTTATCTAAAACACTTTTTTTTTCTTTATCTGTTCATTCTTTTCTCTATTTTTATGTCCATTTCATTTTCTCCTCTTTGCATATCAAGGATAAAAGGACTTCTCTTACAACCACACCGCATCTGTACTTTATTAAAAGGATGAAAACTCATTGAATTACTTAACGTTTTGCAATAGCATCTTAGAGTCAGCTTTACTGGAAAAGCTTTGCTACAAAACTTTTTAATGTAAAAAGGAAAAACCAAGTTCTGAGTTAAATTTTTTGTCATAATTAATAAAAAAAACATTTTTATGCCCTTTTATAGGTAAATAGCAGAACAGATTGGGTCCTATAGCCTTGGGTGGCAACCAGTCTAGGAGAAGGACAACTGAAATGAAAACTATATGTAGTCTTAGGCAAAGCATATTCTATGCAGCTAATGTAAGGATTATGGAGTTTACAATGATTATGATCCAGACGGCCAAGTGTAGTCAATTTAAAAAAGAAAAAAAAAGAAAGAGAGACATAAAAGTTTCAAATCTTAATTTCTGATATCTGGAGAGTCTGTCACTTCAACTTCTGTGAACTGTAATTAATTTCTACTGGATTTTTGTTGATCAATAGTCATTGTAAACATCCTAATTCTTATTCCTACGTTTTTGTTAATATATGAATTGAAATAGCATTTTAAAGCTTTCTTTTAAAATGATTTCAGTATTAAAATTGCTTGTTTAAATGAAAAAAAAATAAAATGATGTAAAAGTGTGAAATCTTTAGTTATAATAGACTTTTTTGATCTATCTACTTTTATGTGCCAGATCTCTTCAGGATGTTGGTGATCATGGTTCTCCACAATTTCCTATCCTTTGTAACTCTTAGTAAATTTTGTCCTTTTGCTATCTCTTCTGTTCTGCCACCTATTTACACAAGCTCATTAGGTAGATTATACACTGTTTTCCTGTCCCTCTTACTTTCAACAGCCTTGTGAGTGTCAAAATTTTCAAGCCCTCTTTCCTTATATGCCCTAGAAATTTCAACTATCTCTTCCTGATGTTAAATATAAGTGTATTTTTTTTTTTAATTTTCTCTAAAACTTTGTTGTTGCCAACATGTTCAGCCTATGTTATTCTCAGCATCCTTCTGTAGAGCCAAATTTCTGTTACTTCAAATCTCTTCTTTATCTGTGAGGAGATTGTCCCAAATTCACTCAGAGTATCAAAATATGAAAAATGGTGTTGTAGGTATTATACTCGTTAACAAACTTGGTTTTATAGTCAAATCAATTAGATTGCTATCTAGCTGGAAGCAAGTAATCTATCAGTCATAATGGTAACAGCAATGGCACCTGGGAAAGATGTGGATGACTGACATGGGATGCCTATTGAAAACATTCTCTTGACTCTGCCATGCAAAATGTTTGAATATATTATATATTGACTGTATTAATATGAACATCATCAAATACTGGCATTAAGTAGGCCTGATGCCAATTTCCTGAGTCATTTAAATTAAAATACATGGAATTAATTCTGTCTAAATTTTCCTTTATAGGTTGAACATATAGAGAAACAAGTTTGATTCTTGAAATTTGGGGTAATTGTGGACTATTTTTTTTTTTTTTTTTTTTTTTTAACCAAGCCAAAATCAACAAAGATAAACATAAGATTATAGTGTTTGAATATCAATCATGCATTAACTGTTAATCCTATTTCTTTACACATTTATTTTTCTTGCAAAGATTTTTTTAAGTTGTGTGTGTGTGAAGAAATATAGTTTAAAAGTGTGCTATATTTATGGGATAAAGTGCTCAATATCAGGGATAGTGTATATAAATATAAAAGTGAATATTGAAGTCAACACTCAGGCGACAGGCTGTTTCATGCTAGACACAATTGTCAGGCAGCCTGACGATTGAATCTAGCATGAAACAGCCTGTCACCTCTGAGTGTTGACTTCAATGTTCACTTATATATGAAGAAGTATCTTTATCCTGCTTGTTATAGTCTTTCAAAAGTTGTACCTATAGGTTTGGAAAGTTTCTGTGAATTTTGAACAGGACTCATTATTCCTTCCTGAAGGCAATAACATAGTGTAAGGTGGGTTTGGTCTGCTTTCTAAGCCTGTATTGAAATAAGTGGTTTTAATGTCTGGACACTACTCACAGTTAAAGGACCTTTTCAATTTTGAGTAACTTAAACTATGGCATATGTATTTAAGTAATTGTTATCTTGGCCAAACAATGAACATTATCTAGGGATGTATTCAGAGCTGTTTTATCATTATTGACAATGTGAAACTTGTGAACAGACATGGCATGCATTCTTTTAATGCCACAGTACCACTTTGAGTGGAAGCACATTTTGGCTGTTATATAAGTTTGTTTGAATGTATATCTTGCTCTATTTTTTTTTGTCTTTGGGGTATGTTAATAGTGTATGCATATATATATATATATATATATATATATATTGGGAGTCACTGAAATATATTGTATTTTTTTTGTGGTGGTGGCACACACTCTAGCTATGCCACTGATGTATAACAATGTTGCTCTTCAAACCATTTTATTCCCTTGGAATGCCAGATGTCCTTTTCTTTTGCACTATCTTATTGCCAAATGTCTTTGTTGCATCCCAATAAGATGTTTCTATAATGATTAAGTACTCGTGAAAACCTCTCTCTCATAAATACCCCCACTTACTCATATTATCAACCTTGATAAGGGTCAATTAAATACTTCAGAATAGTGATATTTCATGTTAATTCATATGATCATTTCTTTTTCTTTCTCCAATCAAAGTTAAAAAGTAATAAACAAATTGAAAATAAAAAGAGACAAAAAAACTGGTTCTAAAGAGTAGTATAATAATGTCATCTCATTTTTTAAATTTAATTTTTTCTTTCTTCCAGGTTTTTTTGTCCGCCTCCTTGTATATATTTGCTTAATAATGGTTGGAAACGGAAAAAGGACCAGTTGGAACGAGATGGAGCCACAGAACAAGAATCACTGGTGTGTGCATTTATGGGTATAGGGAACTCTGACCAGGACATGGTTCAGTTGAATTTAGAAGGAAAGGTATGATGGAACTTTTAACTTTTTTTTTTTTTTTGCCCATTGTATATTACAGCCATTTTTTCAAAGCAAAATGTTTTGTTGATAAAAATTGAAAAGCCAGATAATTTGTTTTGAAATTAGTGTGATTGTTTCAAATAAGGATAGAGAAACCTAACTTTATTACTCCTTGGATATAATGCAAATCAAGCTTATTGTTTTCATTGTTTCATGATGAACCTTTACTGTTGTGGGTACTACTTTTTTTTTTCTTTTTTAAATGAGACATTTTTCGTATCTAAATTGAGAATTAAAAAAAACTAAAACAAATTAGGCTTCATTTTTTTAATTTTTTTTTTAAAAGACTAGAATGTTATTTACTCTATAGTTTCCATCTGATAGATTGTTATGCCAGACATGATTTTGTGTTAATCGTTAGCAATCCCCCCCACCCCAAATCAAAAGTTTAAAATTTACTTATAGCAGTAAGGCAACATAAATATGTTGATTAATTTTACAAATTTTAAGATTTTTAAAATATACACCTTTTTAAAATTAAGTCACAAAAGCTTTTTTTTTTTTCTTTTTTTTTTTTTAATTTTACCTCCAAGCAAGGTGACAAAGCCACTAAAGCACCGGGGGCGGGTACAGAATGTGAAAGATTATAAGAAAAGAAAAACATTAAGGAATGAGATCAATAAAGGAACAGAAATTAAGACAGAAGATAATGATTGACATTGCATTTAAATTTATGAAGATCAAACTTGACTGGAAAGCATGGAGCCAGAAGAGAGGTCCACAAGTGAGAAAAGAAGCTATTAGCATAGAAATTACAGTTACATATAGCAATGTCAACTGTGACATAAGACCTTGCTGCCAATCTAGTGCTGTGTTTAAATTCATCGAGTCTGGGTACCATAGAGGAAAGTTCATTAGGACAAATACCATGAAAGTATTTATAGAAAAGGCACAGGGAAATTACATATTTGAGTAGACACTGTTTATTAAACAGTATTTATTTTCATCTACTGGCCTGAATATTTGAGAAATCTTCGAAAAATATGCCCTCTCTGGCAGAATTCACAACTGCATTCTCTTAGGATACAAGTATCCATTAAAACACAACTGCATTCTCTTAGGATACAAGTATCCATTAAAAATAACATTTAAGTAATAAGATTGATAAATAAAAAATCCATTTGTTTCTTTAGAAATTACTTTGTTAGAATAACATAAACAAAGAATTTTAAAAAAAACAAAAAAACAAATAGATTTTTTATTTATTGGTCTACAGATATATTTATTCAGAGTGTCTGAGGAAAAACCTGTCTTTAAAGGCACTACTCAGACATTGCTTGGCCATTGACATACTCTGTAGCTGAGAGGTCAGAGCACATCAGATCCAATGACTGTTTCCTCTAGTGTAATGCAGGTTCAAATCCTGCTGGAAAGCACATATTTTTCTAGGAAGATTTCTTGAATATTCAAACTGGTAGACAAAAATAAATCATGTTTAATGAATAAACAGAGCGTCTACTCAAATAAGAGTATCCACTAAAAATAATGTTTAAGTAATAAAAATCTATTGGGTTAATAAAAAAAAAAAACAAAACCTTATTCCTTTCTTTAAAAATATATTGGTAAGTAAATGAAAGTCTTGTGTATTACATGTAAACCATTACTAAAACTAATTAGTTTATCAATTTATATTATCTACCCTATTATTATTTTTTTCTTTACAAGTTTCTCTTTTTTTTTTTTTTCCAGAATTATTGTGCTGCCAAAACCTTGTATATATCTGATTCTGATAAGAGAAAGCATTTTATGTTGTCTGTAAAAATGTTCTATGGAAATGGTCAGGATATTGGTGTATTTAACAGCAAACGGATAAAAGTGATATCAAAACCTTCCAAAAAGAAGCAGTCTCTCAAGAATGCTGACTGTAAGTGTGTTGTTTTTTTTCTAATATAAAAAAAAAAAAAAATCAAAACAAAAACACACACACACAAGTACTAAAATTGAAATGCATTGTAAGAGTTTCTGGCAAATTGTTTTTCATGAGCTGATAATCATGTGTCTTAATAATTTGTTCAAGTGCACCCTGTGAGTGTTAAATTTGCCAAACCTTCCTATCATTGTGTCTAAAATAAACATATCTTGGATTTATAGAAACTGCTAGATCAAGAGCTTTAAAGAAACTTTAATGAAACAAAATGAAAGTAATTATTATTTGCAGTTATAATTACTGTTTCTTATGTTTATCTATTTTTCCTTTTCTTTAAAAGGAATGTGCTATCCAGTTTTTAACATTTTCTAAGTTTTGTTAATGAATCTTATCAAAGTTATAGAGAATGCTAAGTCACAGAATAAGGATAGAAAATAAACTAACAAAACCTATAAAGAGAGAGGAAATGAGCATAATTTTTATTTTATAATAATGGGGTGGGTGCATCTCATAGGGATGGAACTTACTACATGAGAAATAGAGTAATGAGATAACAGGTGTCTATGTATAAATGGTGACTGGAATGTTTGCAAAAGGTTTCTCTTTTTTATCATTAGAGATATAATTAGGCAGTAAATATCAAAGGTTTTCAATGTTCTTAGTAGCAACAAACATTTATATATATATATATATATATTATAAATTAACTGATTTAAAAAAAAAAAACATTTTAAATCAATTAATTTATAATATTAATGCTCTGTAAATTTACATTGAGCACTATTTTGTAAAAATAAAAATATCTATAAGAACACCGGATTATATATCTTACTGTTCTTTTTATATATATATATATATATATATATATATATATATAGCTTGTAATCCTGGGTTTCACACTTTTGCAATCATCAGACAAAGTGAGTTTGTCTGATGATTCCAGAAACCCAGGGTTGGAAACTAATATCCATACAACTCAATATGTTAGCTCAATCACAGATATTGAGCACTTTCCACTAAGTACTGCATATATATATATATATTTTCCTTTTCTGATATATATTTATTTATGTGGGTGTGACTAAATCAGTGAAAATTTATTTTTACCTGTATTATCAAAACCATGTGACTACATATCATTTCCTTTTATATGGAATAAATGTTTTTTGATTAAAAGCTACAGACAAGGAATGTAATTTTCTAAAACCCCCCCAACCTTTCTCCATTTAAGTGAACATCGCTAACTTATTTAACTATTATCAAAAACCAAGACTTTATTAGTTGGAGACAAAAATTTTAATGTCGGCATTTTGGTGTTTGTAACTTTTAACGATGATTAAATAATTTATTTGGAAAATTATTTTATCAATTTTTCTAAATCAAAAATTAATAAAATTGTGAAATAAATTCTCAGTTCTTATATATAAAAACATTCATAAAGTAAAAACAATTTTAGGCAAATCTGATTATTTTGGGGAGTTATTATATACATTTCCTTCAGTGATTTTTTTTTTTTTTTTTCCCCCCCCAAAACAGCTTTCAGGGTTAATATACTTGCATTAATATATTTTTTTGTATAAGTATTTTATTATTATTATTTTTTATTAAGTTGTCAATAAAATTAATCAACAAAGTAATAATTAACAATTAAAGTTATGATGATAATGTAAAGAGTTGCTTGACTTAGTTTTTGCTTATTTCATGCAACCTGAAATGTCATGCTAATAAGTGAGGAGAATGTTAGATTTTTGTTATCAAAAACATATTTGTTTTCTTGGATGTTTCTTTGAGAAACTGTTTTTGGGATAAATGATGATTTATAACTAAGAGTGTGTGAAAAGTTTGCTTTGTCTCTTATTTGTTTTTTTTCCAAAGAATCTTCAAGTAAAGCAGAAAAAATTACTTTAAGTAGTTTGTAAAGTTTATTCAAATATTGGTTAAGGTTGACAATAACATATAATCTTGGAGGCTGTGTTTCTAATTCAAGATCTTATAAACCATGTATTTTTTTTTTCCTGAGTGTTTAGGCCATACAGTATTTTGGCAAAATATGGTGTGCATGTCTGATTGCATATAAATACAGATTTTTCTTTTTTTTTTTTACTGTCTGCTGTTAAGTTTTGGAAATAAGTATTTTAACTTGTCATTAGACATGTACATTTAACAATGTATGTTGCTCACCTACTTTCTTGATGGCTGTTACATAGTTTGAGTTTTAAAGGCACTTTCACTAAAAATGAAATTAAGGTTAGAAAATGCACACAGACAGTCACGCACATAACCACTTGTAACAGCTTTTTTCCTCCCCATTTTTCATTTTATTATTTATTTATTTTTTTTCAGTGTGTATTGCATCTGGTACAAAAGTCGCCCTCTTCAACCGTCTTCGATCACAAACAGTCAGCACTCGGTATTTACATGTCGAAGACGGAAATTTCCATGCTAGTTCAACTCAGTGGGGAGCATTTACTATCCATCTATGTAAGTACAAGTATTTGCTACTTTTTGTACTTTGCAGGTTTATTTTTGAAAGCCACAAACAATTCATTGCTTATTAAGCAAACCAAAGCTTTTCTTTTTCTTTTTAAAAAGTTAAATAATGAAAAGGTCTCATTAGAAAGTAAATAAAAATCAGTTTCTTTATATATATTTTTTATGTATTCCATATTATATAGGTAAAATTTCTAAACATTTGTGTTACATTTCTTCATTTGTGACTTTACGAATATGTTAACCATTTCACTCCAGGTGTCTTTATAGGTTGCTAAGTATGGTGCATATTCATGAAATAATTTCTGAAGACATTTAGTGTTGAGTTTTACATAGTTTTAAAAGAATTTTTGGTTTATGACCATATCATGTTGAAACATTGGTTCCCATATGATCAACGAAATACCTAGATGGATGACTAAGCTTGGATGTGTAAGTGGTGTAATGGATAAATTATTTTTTACTTACATGTAAATACCCTTGGGAAAGGTAGGAATCCTCATCGTAGCTATTGGTTAATTAATAAGGCTCTTGTATCACTAAATCATTATCATAAAAAATTCTTACAATCTAAAAATATTTTATAGCTTTAAATAACCTGCAAAGAGTTGATAATCTGCAGAAATTAATAAATAAATCAAAAGAACTGCTACTATAGACTTGATTCTGGTTAAATGGAACATCAGTTACAAGGAAGGACCATTTTGTTCAAGACCAAAATCTTATACAGATCTTTAAGAGGAATGACTACATATAGGGATTAAAATTTGTGGTTCCAATGGATTCTGTCTAAGATTCCACTGTATTTATTTGTTTTTCTAGTGGATGACAATGAAAGTGAATCTGAAGAATTTACTGTAAGAGATGGTTACATACATTATGGTTCCACAATAAAATTAGTGTGTTCTGTAACAGGAATGGCTCTTCCGAGATTGGTAAGTAATTTATTTTGTTTTTGATTTGGGGTGGGTGTAGAAGATAAAAAAAAAATGCAATTTATTAATTATAATACCAAAATGTCTAGGCCAATAGTACCTAACCTTATTTATTCTATACCCCCACCTCAACAGCTAAAAACTAAATTAAGTCTCAGAAAAAAAAATTTTTTTATTAATCAATTAAGTCATAACATCAGAGCATGATTTTCATGTTTTTCACTGAAATTCAAAATTACCCTACATTTAGAATCATTGATCTAGAAAATTAAAAAAAAAAAAAGAAAAAAAAAGTTTGCTTAGTTTTACTTTCATCCTATATTTCCAATAAAAAAAAATTCTGTTCTAATTACTAAACATCTTTAGTATCCATTAATATCAAGAATGAGAATCAATTTAAACCTAAGTTTACATTAGTACAATATGAAGTTAAAATGGAAGGAAGATTGCTTGATTTAAACTTTTAAGTGGAGAAGGAATACTTTCCTTAATTAACAAAGCAGTTTTGAAATGTTTGTCTCTTTATAGAGTAGGAAATACATAAAGTAAGACAAAATTGGATCTTAAAAGTGTAACATTGACTACAGAAAATCTTTTATACAATTGTTTGATATCATTTTAGATTTCCCTATTAAAGCCTCTTTAGAAATTGAATAAGACAAAATTAGTCTGTGTTTTTTTATACATGTAGCATATTTGGGTAAAAGTGAGGAATTCATATTGCAATGATGAAACAACCATTCTAATGGTTCTCATTTTATAATGATGAGGTAAACTTTTTAATGGTTTTGATATAATATAAAATCATATGGCTTTATTCAAATAATTTTTCAAATATTTCAGTGATGGGTATTTAATAAAAGCATATATTAATTATTATAGATATTTTCCAAGTGTCATCTGGTGAAGAGTCTTTTTGCTTTTGTTAATCTTATAAGGCCCACTTTGAATATCAGTATTCTTTAGATAGTGGTAATCTTCCATGAAAAGACTTCAAGTGGGAACACCAAGCACAGTTTCCTTACTAGTCTATGATATATTGATCTGTGATTGTATAATATGTACATGCTTTGACATACATATTTTGTAAGCTTATAATGTTTTCTTTTTAACTTCTAGATAATTCGCAAAGTTGATAAGCAAACGTCCCTACTTGATGCTGACGATCCTGTTTCCCAACTACATAAATGTGCTTTTTACATGAAAGATACAGAGAGAATGTATCTATGTCTGTCTCAGGAGAGAATTATTCAGTTTCAGGTCAGTTTTGATTTGGGGGAGAAAAATACTCCACAAAAGTCTTAGAATGTAAAACTTTTACATTCTATATGTTTTTTTGTTTTTACCCAGTGTGAGTTCTTAGTAAACTATTTAACTTTGTTACTGAATTAAATCACAAAAGTTTTATGCAAACACCAATTTAAGAAAAAAAAAACTTGCAAAATTCTAATAAAACTATGGCCCAAAATGTTTTATTTGCAATTCTGGTATAATGTTCTATTTTGTTTGTTTTTTTTTTTTTTCCTAATAGGCCACGCCTTGTCCAAAAGAACCCAATAAGGAAATGATAAATGATGGTGCCTCTTGGACAATCATAAGTACAGACAAAGCTGAATACACATTTTTTGAAGGCATGGGTCCTGTGAAATCACCTGTAACACCTGTGCCAGTTGTTAGTAGTTTACATGTAAGTATGTTAAATGGAATATCAACATTTTTTTTTTGTTTTTAAAGTTTAAAAACACAAAGTGATGTGCCATAAAGCAATGATTAGCAACTTAATTTTACAGACCATTTGTAATGTTTCCACATTTGTAGCCTAAGCTAAACTTTGTAAATATCAAAGAAAGAAATTATTAAAACAAAAATACAACCAACTCTAGTAGAATAACTTTAAGAATCTTACATTTTCATAATCAGTTCTCATTGTAATGCTAAGATGATTACATTTAATTACTTTATTCACTTAACGTAAATTTTTATAATGTTAATAGAGATTAATAACAATACTACAGGCTAAAAATTACATTCTAAATGAATAAAATTGTAGAAATGACTTCCTTTTATCTTGTCTATAAAAAAAAAACAAAAAAAAACTTTCTAACTGAATTAGTTTTATTTTTGTTTTCCTCCTTTAGAATACATTTGGGTCTTTAAGTACTTTCTTTTTTATTTTTATTTATGTTAACTTTTTTTTTTTTCAGTTGAATGGTGGGGGAGATGTGGCAATGTTGGAGTTGACTGGTGAGAATTTCACTCCAAGTTTAAAGGTGTGGTTTGGTGATGTAGAAGCAGAAACTATGTACAGGTAAGGGTTCTTGTTATTCTCTCCCCCTCCCCTGTCCCACATATTTAATTAAAGCATAAATTGTACATTATAGCTGTTCAAACCTTGCATCAACAAATCTAGTCAATCCAGTATCAGATGAAAATGAATTCTCCTCACAAATATATAAAAAAAAAAAACTACCTATACAGTTTCCCCATATTATTTTAGAAACAATTCCATAGAAATTATCTTCTAAAGTACAAATAAATTTTTTTTTTCATGCTAACCATTCATTATTTTGTTTTTATACAAAAAAAAAAAAATCATGGCCCTCCATGGTTTTCTTTTATTCTATATTTGTAAATTGCACATTGCCATGACTTGTTTGGAATGATAGTGAAATCGGAATGTTTTCTCATTACCTTCTCTATGGTTTTGAATTCATTTTTTTCTCTCCTAGCCTTGTTGCTGTAGGAAGGCTAAAAATTCCATTTTTTTTTTCTATTTTACCCTGAGTTAAAGAAAGAAAAGATCAATTTATGCTTTTCTCAACAACATTAGTACAAAGTAAACATTAGCCAGAATTTGAATTCAGCCTATTGACTTGATTTTCTGTTATGCTAATTGTTATGGCATTGCATATCTGAGAAACTAAGTTGTCAAAGAATCAGCTGTTCTCACAAAACCATTTCTTGAATGGACTCCAAAGTACATTTGATAAAATTTCATCTGTAAAAGAAAAAAAAAAAAGTTTTAAAATTGTTGTTTTCTTCAAGTTTTTATTTAATTTTTGCAGATGTGAAGAAAGTATGCTTTGTGTTGTGCCTGACATCTCTGCATTCCGTGCAGGTTGGAGATGGGTACGTCAGCCATTACAGGTGAGAATATCTCCTCTCTCCTCCCCCACACCCATGGAGAATGATTTCTAATTTATCTCTATATATGATTGTAAAACCTTTCTTTTCCAAGGATGTTCTCTTGCTCTTAAATAAATCATGTCAGATTCACCATCCCCCCTTTACTTTCATATATCATGTTTTTCTGTAGATACTCATCCCTGATTGGATAATCATAACACTTTTTGTGCAGCTATAAATCAATTTGACTGAGTTCTTGTTAAATAATTTATTTAGTATATGTTCTTTTAGGAAAGTTTAATTGCAAAGTACTTCCCAAGAAGTCACATACCCAATAAAATATTTAAGAAATCAGTTGGATTGAATTACAACTACACAGAAAATATGATGCAGTTAAGAAACATGATTACAAAGTGTTGTGTAAGGTCAGTATTAATAGAACTTGTAGGCACAAATACAATTGGAAAATAGAACTAACAGTTTTATGTATTTGGCAATTGTTTCTATCACTTTTAGTTATATTAAGAATTTTTTTTTTAATCATTTCACCTCAGTCATGGCAATAATGACACTAAGATGCCAGGGGTTCTGGGAATGAAAGAGAATGAGAAAACTTTAGTGAGAGGAAAGGGCAATAAAAGAACAGTATTCAGGAAGAGAGAAGATGGTGATTGATGTTGTACTTAAATTTTTGAAAGTTCCACAGGGAAGAAAAGAAACTATTAGACTAGAACTTAGTTACATCTCACAATTTTAACATTAAAATGATGAGACTTAGTTGCCATCTAGTGCTACACATAAATTCACGTGGTACTAAGGAGGAGAAAGCTCATATGAACAATTGCCTGCAAAAATATTTATAAAAAAGACAGTGAGGAACCATGCCAAAATAGTGGGAAAGTGAATGAAGTCAAGTCAGGACTAATAGCATTACAGATTCTTGTTTGGATTTTGTTGAAAAATCACTAGATATATAACAGGAGAACCAGGCCAGATATGGAAGCAATATTCAATGTACAGACAAATGATAGTGTAAATGTTATGCTTTACATACATAAATCTATCTGCAGGATACTGAGCACTGTATTTAAAAAAAAAATTCAACACTAACCTGCATTTAATTTGAATTACATTTCAATTATTTATATTGTGTGTATGTGTGTGTAATAAGTAATTTTTATTACTGTAAATGTTATTTTTAGTGGAAAAAAAAATAGCATATCAGATCAAATGATGGTTTCTCCTGCAAAGGGGGATGCAAGTTTGAATCCTGCCATAGAGCACTTTTTTCTTTTTTTTAAGATTTCTCAAATGTTCAGGCCAGTAGACAAAATAAAATACTCTTTAAAATAATTGGAGAATCTACTCAAATATGGGTATCCACTAAAAATAATGTTTAAATTAATAAAAATATGCTGGATTAATAAATAAAATCTGTTAATTCTTTAGAAAATAATAATAAGTAACTTCTCATTAACTGATTTGAGGTAGCAGTGCTGATCCATACAGTGATAAGGTTATGCTGATTTAAAAGATAAAGTCCTTACATATTATTTAACCTATATGATAAACTACACCTGGCAGCAAGGTCTCTGATCAGGAGATTTGAGGTTTTTAGGGGCATGAAACCACCTCTTAATTGCTCTCATTCCTAGGTCCATCCTGACCTGGGGTGGTAGCACCTGTTAGGATTCCAGCTATGGGCAAATATTGAACCACCAAACAAAACCATATGAAAGTATAAAAATATATTTTTATAGTAAAATTACTAACAATACATTTTATCTGTAGTTGAAGTCATGCTATTGCATTGAAAAATATATTTAGTTGAAGCCATAAAATTGTATTCAAAATATTTAAATTTTGGCATAAAATAACCCATAGAGGTTGATCTGCTAACCAAATAACCCACATGAAAAAACTCTTTCATGACATTAAGAAAATGTTGGATATTATATGGATTAAAGAAATCAAACTGTATTCCAAAATATATCTACAACATAAAACACATATATCCTCCGTCTCTAATAATCATGTCTACAAAAGTTGAGTATCATCTAACATGCATTCAGAATAACATACATCACATTTTTATTAGTTCAAAGCTCCCAAGAAAATTAAATTTCAATATTAGATGACCCATTAGGAGTTGATATGTCGTTAAACAAAACTATCATAGTGGCTTTGCACCTACTCAGTTTAATAAATATCTGTTTATATTGTATAAATGCATTACTAGTTTTCTTATACCTAAAAATTGCTTATATGCATTTTACTTTGGGCCAGATAGTTGGTGGGGGGAATCTGAGAAATGCAGTCGATCTCTTAAAGAGGTTATGAGAAACCAAAAAATCTGAGCTTCATAAATAAGAAGTTGTGGGATTGAAACAGCATTGGTGCATCTTTTGGTTAGTAAAGAAAGAAACCTGCTTATACTTGGTCTCCTTTTATTTGATGTAACAGTTGTGTTGTTATATTGAAGATTAATTGTAAATCAATTTGCATTGCATACTTTATGCTGCATATTGTGAACAGCTGGTATGGAAGATGACTTTTTATGAGCATCATAGACATGCTTATAAAACAACCTTGAGTCATTGTGGGAGGGTGGATACTTGTAATCACCAGTTATGCTACATATTTATATATTTTTTTCTTCAATAAATGAGAAAGCAGATAAAAATATATTCTTTATTGATTTAAAAGAACAATATGAGCAAATGACAAAAAGGATATTGGAAATTTTCAAAGCAAATAAAATAACATTTTTATTTGGCCATATCTTTCAGTGACAGTGTAGTGAAACAAGTGTACATATTTTGATAGTGACTTTTACACCAACTTCTGGTAATCAAATAATTTATAAGCTATAATCTGATATGAAAGTTATAAAAAAAAAAAGGCAGAGTATGTGCCGGGAAATTGTTCAAGTTAATCTGTAAGTGTAGACAAAGCATTTTAACATTTATAAAACCATTACTATTCTAATGAATAATCCTCACTTGTGATCTAATACCAGGCTACAAACCTAGCTATCTGGCAAAGTTTGTATGAGTTTCCGACACTTGTGGATTTATGCTAAAATGAGCCTTTCACCGCATAATGATCAACAGGCTAAACTATTGAGTTTGATCCTCACCCTATTGCAAAGTTGTGCCTGATGAAAGTCAATTCTCCTATGATGATATTTGCAGGAAATTCTTTAGTTTAATGAGGAAATCCAATAATGGTTAGTGTTATGAGAAAAGTAAAGTATATTTGGTTGGAAGGAAAGTTGTTATGGTTTGTAGAACATTAAATTTACTTAGAAACTGCAAGAACTTTCTTTCCAACCAGATAATCAGGCTTTCATATTATATTGTCAAGTAAGTACTGCTATTTATACATATGACCTATACATTTATTTGATATTTCTGTCTTTCAACAGGTTCCAGTCACACTAGTGAGAAATGATGGTATCATATATGCAACTGGACTAACTTTCACATACACGCCCGAACCAGGACCTCGCCAACATTGTAGTGCTGTTGAGAGAGTCCTGCGTGCCAATCCTGATCCAACACCAGCTGTACCCTACACCAGCCCAATGTAACAAGATATATTTCCCCACATTGAGGAAGGAGTATCCAGAAAGAAAAAAAAAATATTTTTTATCCAACCAAGGATAATTCAGGGTACACTATATAGGAACTCATGTCCACCTCCTTCCTAGAAAACCAGGAAGCTGAATATTGTTGCTGCTGCTACTACTACTACTACTACTACTGCTGTTTCAACTAATGCTAAGTACCAGCTGCTGAAAAGTGTGGTCAGTAAGCTTTGTACCCCTATTCCTTGGTCAAAACTGCTGACATGACCACTACAGCCCACATCAAAATTATTATATACACATTCAATCTTTACCAAAAAGGAATTCTTAAGTCTCAAACAGGATTTTGAGAAAGAGAGAGAAGTTTGAAATAAAAAGATATATATGATTATTATTATTATTAATATTATTAAAAAAAAATCTCAGAGAAAAAAAAACAATTAAAAAAAACAAAACTTTCCTCTGACTCTTGGGCTCTTACTGAGCAAGAATTGAAAAGAAAAAGAATATATATATATCTGGAGAAAAAAAAATTTTCCACAATTTAAAACTGACTGCAACTATACAGAAAAGAATATAATATTGAACTAAAGTTTTTTTTTTTTTTTTTTAAATAATGCACAGAAAAAATTGTTACAGAAAAATTATGAGGGTTGGGGAGGGGGATTTGAAAAACAATGAAAAGAAAAAAAAAAGCTCAGATGTGATTCATTATATTCACAAAAATATTTGGTGGCCATTATTGAAACAATTCAAAAAAAACAAACTTTTTCCTAACATACCAATGGCATTTCTTGACGGTCAGCTGATTTGAGTGAGAGAGTAAGGAGGAGGAGGAGGAGGAGGAAAAACATGATCCCTCCACTATCACTAAATACTCCTCTCATTTTCCTAATTCCATTTCACATACAGAAGTTTTAAATACTGGCTTTACCAATTATATTCCTTTATCATAGCAACTCAACATAGCCAATCAAAAATCACATTGAAAAGTGCCTTTTATGTCCATCTAAGCCAGCAGTGGTGTTTTCCAAACAGTAATTGTAAAGTTGAGAGAGTAGCATCACATGAAGCCTTCAACTTATAAACGAACTCATAAGTAAATAAAGAGAGATGACAAATATTTTGTACTTCTAATATAGTGCATCAATTATCTACTTGTTTTATGATGAAGGCTTTGAATAAAAATGGTAGTGTCTGTGGTCATGAATTCTCACTATCGACTGGGGCTGAAAGATGTTGGTTAAAGAGGAGATCTAATGGCTTCTTGGATTGATTTGCTGTTTGGCTCACTGCTTAACTAGTGTTCCAGAAGATTGGCCATTGCATAAAACAAATGACTTTCTTTTTCTTTACTTATTGATTGGCAAAGAAAAAAAAAAGAAAAGAAAAGAAAAACTTATTTAGTCACTGTTAATGATTCTCCCCTGCAGCTGACTTATCAAACACATTGAAGAAAAAGAAAGCAATGACCGGAAAAAAAAATAAAATAAAAATACATACACACGTGTGTGCGTGTGTGTAGAAAGAAGACTAACAATGACATTTCCATACCTTGAAACTATTCCATAGTTTTAACATTTTTTTTTGTTTCAATTTTTCATTTTTATTCCAACCAAGCAGGCAGAATCTTCAATTTTTTTTTTTTTTAGTATAGACTAAAGCAAAAAAAAAAAAAAGCAGCAATAAACCTGACAAGCCGTGAGCTTTCATTCTTAGTATTATTTTTAATTTTATTTTTATTTACTATCATTGCTATTTTACTTATGACATTTCTACTTTATTTTGAACATTTTCATCATTTCTTTTTTTTGATAAGCTTTATTTTCTCTCATTTTAACTTTACATTTTTTTTTTTTTTCTAAAAAGAAATTTTCTCTACTCTTGATCAATTTTGTTGCAGAATTTTGTTAAGTTTTTTTTTTTTTTTTTTTTCCTTTTATAAAGAATTTTTCCACAAGTGAATTTTCTGTTTGTTTTGGGGGATAAGGGTTCTTTTGTGATATTAGCTCTAAAATGCATTTACTGCAGTAAAAAGAAAAACATGCTAAATGCTTTATCATGGCCATATTTCTTTTTTTACCTGACCTCATATCTATTAATTAAAAAAAAAAAAAACTGTCTACATAAGTACTTCATACAAATTTCTTTAATAAGAGTGAAAAATAATTAAGCAAAAGACCTGCTTCTCTACAGAAGAAGTTTCGGTATATGGTCACACTACTGTGTTAATAAGAATCTATTGTGAACTGAAAAATGTCATTTTGTTTCATATTTTCCATTCTTATTGAAGTTTGTATTTTTCGTTTTACATTACAACATTAAAAACAAAAAAAATGTCAAAAGTTTAAAGAAAAATTCACTCACATGTGATCAAGTACATTTTTAAAAATGAACTAAATATTTCTTTTTAATATAAATTCATCATCAAAACAGAAAACTATTAAAAACATTGTTTGTCTTGCACTTCATATTTGTCTGAGAAAAATCATCTTTTCTGTTGGTTTTACTTGTATTTTAATCTTGGATTAAAAAAAGAAAGAAAAAAGGAACACTCATGAAAAAGTTTTAAAAAAAAAACAAAGAAAAATAGGGCCATCTACATTTACCTCCTTTGAAGACAAAGAAAAATAAAGGAAAGAAAGCCAAAGTAGTTTTTTTTAATTTTTTTTTCCCCTATCTTTTGTCTGAACCAACCTCAGAGAGATTTCTGTGTTTATTGAATGACTTTATATATTTATTATGCCTTTAAATTCCTTGAACATATGGCCGCAAGATATCATTGCGGTTTTTAACAAGCCAGCTTTTAATTGAGTAGGGTCTTTTTTTTTTTAAGCATTTCACTGCAAGCAAGGCAATATGCCACTAGTATGCAGGGGGGGGTTACAGAGTGGGAGCAAGAGTAAAGAGGTGTGATGGAGGAAAGGATAAAGAGAAAGGCAGGGGGGTAGTTCAGGGCATCTGGAGATGTCAATTGACATTACATTTGAATAGTTGGACATTCTAGCTATCAGGGAAACAGGTTGTTAGCCTACTGCACAACCCCCAACCTGGAGGATCAGATTTTGAATTTAGAGTTGTCCTTCTCCTAGACAAGTTGCTGCCCGAGGCTCTAGAACCCAGTCTGTCCTGCTATTTACCCATAGCTGGGGGAGAAGAGGATTCATACCTTTCCCAAAGGGTATTAGCACATAAGTGAATGTAATGGGTTCAACTGGAATTTGAACTCTGCTCTTCAATTCCTCGAGCCTGTGGTGCCTCCTATTCAATAACTTTTGGTGAATTTCATTGGGAGCAGAATTTTCTTGTTTTGCTTATAACCCAATCTGTAGCTTTTTTTCCCCTCTTAAAATTAAGTAAGGAATCTATTAGGTTGTCACACATGAAATGACATTTTTTTTAGTTGATCCGGTTGTCTAACGAAGTAACCTCAGTATATAAAAAAAAAATCTTGATTTATTCAAAACTTTCTTTTCAGGTAATTTTTCTTTCAATATATTGTTACTCATAAGCCCAATGAAAATGATTACAATGAAACTATGTCAAGTAATCTTACTGTATGAGTACAAAGTGGGTCATTCTGCCTCTGAAGCACTTCAGAATATCAAGGCGGCCTTTGGTAATGGTATTGTTGAAATCAGAACTGTACAGAGATAGTTTCAGAAGTTTTGTTTGGGAGATTATAGTCTTGAAAATAAATCAAGGAGAAGACCCTGATTGGTTATCAAACATGATCAATTAAATGCTTTGGTTGATCAATATCCGAGAACTACAGTCTGAAAACTTGCAACAGAACTCAAAACATCTCGCACATTTGTTTCTTAGCACTTGAAAAGAATTGGATAAGTAACGAAAATGGATAGGTTTGTCGCATATGAACTTAATGAGACTCAAAAAACAAAAAAAAAACTGTCACTTTAAGGTGTGCTCCCTGATGCTTTCCTGACTGGAAAAAGAACCATTTTTACATCAAATCCTTACATGGGATGAGAAATGGATACAACAGGAAGAGAGTAGGCCAGTGGTTAGATGCAAGTGAATCACTAAAACAATACCCAAAACCACCACTGCACCCTAAAAAGTTAATGGTTACTGTATGGTAGCCTTTCAAAGGGGTTACTCATTGCCCCAAGGGGAAAATAAAAAACAACCTCCTTATATTGTGGAGAAATTGTGTATGCATGAAAAATTGAAAAAGAAAAATCTTAGACTTATGACTAGGGATAGCCCAATTTTGTTGCACATCCACACACTTCTCAATCAATTGTCCAATAGCTGCATAGACTGAATTTATGAAATATTGCCTCATCCTCCATATTCCCCTGATATCTCTCCTACTGATTATCACTTACTTAAGCATTTTGAGCTTTTCATATGCAAAACATTCTCCAATAAGGAACAGGTAATTGAAACATTTGAACTGTTTATCACATCAAAGGATGAGAATTTTTTTAAAAGATGTCATCAAGAATTTAGAGGTACATTGGAGAAGTCATTCATCAAAATGGTGCCTATTTCAACTAAATAAATTAGTTATTTAACATTGCAGAAGCATTTTATTCATTTCCTATAAAGTGCTTCATGTGTGACACCATAATATAATAAGGACAAAATTTAACATCTAAGTTCATCTGAAAGAGACTAGAGAATGCACTCACCAAGAATGTGACAAATATTAATGAGAACTTATATCAAAAGTTCTGTTTTGTTCAGCAAACTCAATCTTCAGCAGTTATTTTAAAGATCAGTTGTTAAAATTGCTCTGCTAAGATGCATGAACTATGCCTGTTACTAAGAATAGATTTGAAATTTATTAATCAAAATCTAAATGTCACAATCCAAATAAATTTAGAACAAAAAGCAAGAAATTCTCCATCTGACTTTTAAAATTTTCTCTTTCTACTGGATTTTTTCCCCCATATTTGTTACTGTGTGATACTATGAATGCACATGTAGAAAGGGAAGCAGTAGTTTTATTTTGATAAGTATTTTTGTTTGATAGA